GAAATTCCCACTCTGTTTTATTCTCTCGCACCAATTTCAGACGTTCGCTAGCACACGCCGTCATTGGTGACGTGAACTTTTCTGGCGATCCTAACAGCAGATACGCACTCCCAATCTTAATTTCGTTATTTGCACTTGTAGTTAGGTGGTTGTTACGTCTGTGACCGTTTCCAATATTTCTGCGTCGCTCTTTCCATTTGGCCACTTTGAGTTTGCCCATGGATACTGGCTTTGGTATTTTCAAGAACACAGGTTAACTGTTTTTTTCTTATGTCCGTTTTTACACGCGCGAACTTAGGAGGCGCGAACAAATCGGCTGTCGTAGTTCACAAGAGATTCTCTCAGTGGCACAATTTTATGATTACTTCACCTGCCATCCGAACAAGATCTGTTGGTTGGTCGTTGTTGATTCAAACACAATCCATTGCCAGTGCCCACCGGGAGAGCGTCGTGCAGCTGATGCTGTTGGCGGCTTACTCTTTGATTAGGTATTGGTCTCGGGAAATGAGAACAAAGAGCAGATTATTTGGTCTGATATAATTCTATTTTGGTCAGCGTCAACGACCAATTGAAAGCAGAATCATAATCCTCCCGGTCACATGCCACCACAGTCTGCGATACGCAACCTTTGACACTGCCGTTAAAAAAGTGGACAAAGAAACTAAGACAGATGAGTGCTGAACTAATATGATATGCGGGTCTGTCTGTCACGAGGACCGAACAATATTTGAGGAGCGGAATCCGAGCACCGCCGTTATGGAGCATGTCAGTAGCATTCATCTGAAATATATATTTGCATGTTTATTTCAAAACTCAGCAAAACCACGTACCTCGTTCACCTAGTATTAGAAGAAATTAATGGATTAGGTGAAGTCCCAAATCGTGATGATGCTTTCAGTAATTGCACAAGATAATAATTGTCTTCTTTACACACGAATCCCTTCCGATGTTATCCGTACGAGAAACGTAACTAGCTCCATAATGCTGAAAAGTTGTACAGTAGCGCTACACAATGCACCCGGCTTGATAATAGTACCGACTGCCTTCACAAATTTCATTTGGACTTGCAGGAAGATTCAAGATACTCTCGATTTCGATAATTTAGACTGGGTCAACGTCAAGCGGACGTTGCAGTGCCCAAATGTAGTCTATTCGCGTTTCGAAAAAATGGTGGGATTGTTCAGTGAAAGTTATTGCAAACACAAACCGTTTGTCACATGGAATGCCTCTGCTCGGAACCACAGGCACGTCAAATGAACGAAAAACTAAACAAGTCAGTCGAAAAGGAAATAAAACTGCCTTCTGAAAGTGATAAAAATTTAACAGCAAAGTCGGGTCAGTAAACGTATTGCTACTTGATGACCGTATCATCTAGTATAGTGCTAGACTGTATAGGATAGTGGGTACAAACGTGTTACATCCTAGTGAGGTTATTCATTCAGAAACCCATGCCTGGTTCACAGCAAGCCTAATCGGCTATTGACCGTTCGGTGGGCGAGCTGGTATGACTCGCGCCAAGTGTGCTCAACGCTAAGTCAGAGTCCAGTCTCACTCCCATAAAATGACTGAGTACAATGTGCGCCTCTGATCCTATGACTCAGCTGCACCGGTATGTTTCTCGTGTCCAAGGGATGGGGGGAGGACGGACTCACTTTCCCGTCATATTCACAATCCCGAGAGAGCAACATCATTTAGTTCCAATGCACCGATACGTGCAGAAAACGCAGATCCGTAGGTGCGTTCATTCTTCCCAAAATGAAATATACGGATTGGATGATGGGAAAACTGGGGGAAAACTCGGTATTCAATGGTGTCACAGAATGCTAGACTGTGAACCTTTCAGTAATACCACTGTATAATGTGGTGCGATATTTCTGATAGGTTGGTTAGCTTTGTTTCCTGTTTTCTGGAATTCTGGGAGCCATTGCTCAACCTGAACAGACCGCGTCAAGCACGACAGAGGATGTGAACAACTGACATAGACACTCCTCTCAGCTACTCGTAGATAATTAGTAGTTCAATTGGCGAAATGTTTTTTAGCTGGGTCAGGATACATGTTGCTGCTGGGAGCTATCTGTTCGGAATAAGCAGAATTTTGCCGCTATCAGAGCGAGTGTCGCGTATAGAACCTTCTCCCACAAGCAGGATTACTCTTCGAATGCCACAGACAGTACGCACCACGGCTGTTAAGTGAAAATTGTTAATTAGGGGTGCGCCACGACGATGATAATTGGTGGCGAAACCTTTACACGCCGGCCGGCAATTTCATCGAACAGATAGAGAGCCACTTTATCGACAAACAGTATACGTACACGAGCCAAAAACTCTTGGATACTGCAAAATCTTGTCAACTACCTCGCGAAGAGGTGCAACAGAGAGCATATGAAAGGCCGGATAGTTCTTAAGTGCGGGGTAACTTGATTTACGTCAGGAAGCGTTTCTCCACATTGGCCCTAAATACTAGTAAGCCCAGGAAGAAAAGCAGGGCTTTCTAATGTCGTCGATCGACTAATCGGTGAACAAAACTGACTTCAAATAAAACTGCAAAATAGTCATTTGGAACATGAAGATAGTTAATTATAGCACCGCTGCGACCCATCATATCAGAGTCGAATGCACTACTTTCAGTTCGGAAGGATTCCTAATTTCCAATAAAGAGTTGCTCAAGTGTGAGGATTAAGGGTATTAGAACTGGAACGTATGCCATCAGTGTCTCTTCTAATGCCACAGATGAATTGACCAATCAGTATCAAGAACACTATTCTGCGTTTTGAAATGGCAACAATCCGTCGGAAGTAGTGCCGTGCGGATAACCCAAATGTGACATTAAGGGTGAATAAATCTGACATTTTGTGTGCCAGTATTAAATTCTCCTACCATGCAGTCAGATCTCAAAGTAGAGGTAACTCTTGCAGAACTACAAGTTAGAAGGTGCGACCGAGAAAACTCATAAACAAGGAAAATCTACCTGATTAAATCAAGCATGTTTTAGTAATGTGCTCTATTTTAAAACTGTCGACAAAAAAATTTAATGTGCAGTTACGTGCGATTAGTTCTGAAGATTGGAAGCTAGAGACGGCTACTTAAACAATTTCTAGTAGACTGGGAAAAAATCAATCGCCAGATCGACGACCACACCGATCTGTTGTTGGACTCAGCATGGTCTGTTTCACACAACAAGACCACCCATTCAAGTTTAGTCAAATTATCGGAGCGTGCTATGAGGCTTTTTCAGCATGATGGTGACGACTCTAAACGACAACCAGACGATTCAGTATCACCAAAAACTGACGAATCGGTGCGATGATTGAGCAAAAGGTTGATCGAAAATGTCCTCAAATTTAGGTTTATGCCGGCAATAAACTTTTAGCCCTCTAACTGGGAATTTTGTGGCACGAGGGCTTTCGCCATTGTATGGCAGAGATGAATGTGCAGCAGGGAGGGCTTGCACTTCCGTGTCAATAAGTCTTCCACACTATGTTGACCATTTCCCTGACGATTTCAAACTACAAATAAGTGCGCAACCCCGAAAACTTTATAGCTCGGTGTTCAAACATGGAACGGGATGGGCAGAAATTCTCAAAAAAAGGCAGACAAAGAAGGTCCACAAAGAGTTAAGCCAGCTAAATGGGTTGTCAAAGAAGAATTTTCGTCAACGTCACAGAAAGTGTCATTCCTAGGAAAGCACTTAAGCATTTTTAACCTCGAACCATCTTTAACAAGAAGTGACTTTTGTGCGGCAAATCTATTTGGGGAATATCACAAACAAGATGCGCAGTTCGGTGTTTCGCTAAAATCCTCTGGAGTAGCGATTTTTATTTCGGTTGGGTGAAATAGGTACGACGTAAGTACAAAATGAGGTTTGAAAAAGTAAAAAAAGCTAAGCCCACTCAGCAAGCCTCAATAAAGGAGAAAGCCATACTGGGCTTGGTTCCCGTTAGCCTTTTCATACAGTATCGTGCGGGGGAGAAAACCTACATAAAATAAGTACTGTTGTAATATTGACAGCGTTCCTGAAATCCGATGTGAACTGTAGCGTAACACTGTAGGCAGTCTAAATGATGAATGATTAACTGAAATGGTTGACTGATCAAAGAAAATCGGCGAAGTTGTAACCTCAGGAAAACACACGGTATGTTGTGGTTATGCCACGATGCACTCAGCAAAAGGCCTGCGGATTTTCATCACTTCTCTCAGAAACAGACTGGGAAAACCACAGCCGTCAGTGACTGGACTAGCTGTCGGAAGATATGCCACTAATTAGGCCAGCTTGTACCGATGGTTGTTTTCGGCAAAACTAACAACGCAGTTTTGAACTCGGCGTTTCGCTCAAGAACAACGAAACTACTGAGATCTAAAAAGTAATCAGTTATCATTGTAGGTAATATGCGATGTGCAGCGACTAATTCCACAGGAAAATGATCTCTATAAATAACTCTGGTATGTGCCATTTTCGTACGCAGTCAAAGGCTGAATACAAGGTCATTGATTTCTACGACTGCATTTACGGTGAAAATGCAAACGTACCAACAGCCTTCAGTGCGTTTCGCAGCTCGAATGAGTTCATACATCCACTCTTGTCCACGTCAAACTTTTTGAATGCCGTCTTTGAAAGACAAGGAGGGGGCAAAAGGGAAAAATTGAGTCAGCGACATTGTGTAAGAGACAGTGACGCAGTGTCAACGATGCAGGCCCATACTGTCATACGACCTTTATTTTAGAAAGATGTTTGCGAATTTTGATTTGTCTTACCACAATAATACCCCTGCAAGGGGACACTACGGGAAAAGAGGTATTTAGACCTCTCGATAAGTCAAAACTATCTTGAACGGAGAGGATTCAGCAACAAAAGGTGATTTCTGAGGTAAGCCGTTGTGGACTTCCCAAGGGAGTGGCCTCCATTCGGAGGTGCCTATCATGAGGTTGGGGGGGGGCACTATGCACTGCTCACAAGAATGGACACGTTATTGTTGAAGATTCCAGGCGGAATCGAAGCAACAAATCCTTACACATTCTGGAGTTCATTTTCACGCTACAAGTACGTGCCTTCACCAGTACATCTTTATGTATCTTTTATTCAATGTGTTCGAATCGTTTGTCAAGGGGAAGGAGTCTGCAAGTACGAATTCGCGTACACAGTGCACCTCTAACCGAAATCCGCCTTGCTCTAGTTTGATCTGCAGATCAGATCAAAGTGGAGCAAACCAAACCGAATAGCAAACCATGTGCTCGACTGCAATACCATATTTAAAAAAAACAAAAGGAAAGCTCGTTTTCATCAAATTCAGCAATCGAAAGGACTTGGACACGCCAAGTTGTATTTCATTCCTCACTCGAGACCAGCTAAGCATCAGCCAGTCTATATAGTTAGCAAGTAAGCCGTCCCTGAGAGGATTTACATTTAATTCAGGTGTATCGTCTACGTGGAAATAACGTTTGCAATTCTCAAGGCATTATCCAGCAGCCAAAAGTAAAAAGGAGCACAAAGCTGCAAAGTTGAAGCAATCTGGTTTGTTTGTGCGATTGTATGAATGCAAGATTAATTTTGCCTAGTGTTCTACATCCGACAAACCGTACGTCCTATGTATGTATCACATTTGGAGGCCCTTCCAAGAACAAACAATGTTTGACAGTTCAAACAGTCTAATACAAAATAGATGACCAAAAGTACTGGATAGAGGACGGGTAGAACCAGGCCTTAAATATATCGAGTACGTGGGATAACACAAGCAAAAATTCATTTGCTTTGTGCATTGGTTATACAAGGTACAAAAATCGATACCAGACTGTCGAATGTAACCAATCGAATTGATACGCGCTTTATTCTGGGAACAGCACGCGGACAGAACAGAAGTAATCGATAAGTGTTAAAAATGCTTGGATTGTTTTTGAAGTCCCAGCATTAAAGATTGTGGAACAATGTGGTGGGGGCAACTTATCAAGGAGAAAACAGATGTTGTGACCTTTAAGTTTCTTTTGGTCGACGGCTTTGGTCAACTTTGTTCTCGAGTGGTTTGAAAAAAGACGGTGATTTTCTGGGCACCACATCTCCCGTTCAGAGATAAATCAATGCAGGCTCGCGCAGCCAGCAAACAATATTAATCTCGAAACTCACGCAATATGAAATATAAAGAGCTTAGATGAACCATACTCATTCGACCCGGTTTTTGGGTTTCCATTGGACAGGTTGAGATGGCTGACTCAAAAATCAAGCCTTATTTTTGATAAAGACTTCAAAAATTGCCAGCAGTGTTAGTGCTGATAATATGGAGATATGCAGTACGCGGAAGACTGAGACCAGATCTTGAAAAGGCACTTGGTATAGGCAAGGAATCATGTTGGTAATGTGGTGAACTATTGGTAGCTCGGGTGAGTTTATTGGTTGTTGATCAGATGGCTGCTGATCTGCTCGCCGAGCTTGGTAATTGGCTTGCAAACGTTTCGTCACCATACGAGGAGACAACATCAGTGCGCAGTTGGGTGGGAATCATGTTCAGTTCCTGGGCGGTGACTTAAGGAATTGTCCATTGCTCTTCCAGCGACACAAGCCAGTGGTTATTGGCCCTGACAAATATGACCGTATCAGGCGGAGAATGACGACCTTACATCAAAGCTGTCACCTTCATTGCGTAGCATCTACTTCCTGACATACTGGACGAACAGAACTGGGCCATCACGTTCAACGCGTTGCTCTCATTCCCTTATTCTCCTTATTATCAAGGAACGAAGCCGTAGCAGCTGGAACCAGTGCACTCCGGTCTGGGACCTAAAAACCCAATCGAACTTCCCGCATGACAGGCCTGGCGATACGGGAAGCTGAAGTAGGACACCAAAAGCCCACTGACAATCTGAACAACAGAATACGGCTTGATGAAACTCACCTTCCACAGACGAAGTAAATTCCACAGCGTTTTGAACTCATCGAAGTTGAGCATACCCGAGCGATCGAACTAGGAGAAATATTTTATCGGTCAAGGAGCAAACTGCCCAAGAGCGTAAGCGAGTCTGTTAGGATGGGCCGTTTAAATCTTTTCCCAACTAAATGAATAAATAAATAAATAAGCGGCTGAACTAAAACAAGCTTGACGAAAACTAGAGGAGTGTGCCTACTTGATGAGCGACAAGATGAGCGAAACCAGGCGTGTCTAAGAGTCCTCAGTAACCTTATGTGTAGTGTGTTATGTCTAGTCAATGAACATCTCACGCGCGTTATTAGTCACTTTCGTGAGTCTCTTTATTCAAATATTCGGGCTTGCTTACACAAGTAAAACTATACAATAGGCTCTTAAATGTTTTCATAGAATTGCATTTCGTGGAAGAAAAGAACCAAAGCATCAAATTTCATTATTGTTGCAGTTAAAAGGCTTGATAATTAGCACTTCATCTGTTTTCCAACGGAGCGGATAAGTTAAATAACGGAAATGATGAGTGCCTTTCATTCTCAGATGGTGCAGCAGCCAGAGTTGATGTTGTTGATATTGTTGACCTGGAGAAATTAATACCAGCTGGCGGAAAACCAAAACCGCGTATTCATATATGACAAAACAAGCCAAACCTAACTAGGGATACGCTGAATGCTCCAACAATCAAACAGAGAAGCCCTTTGCCATATGAGCTGTTGAAGCTGACTCTACCAGAAGCAGTGAATAATAAGAAACAGTGAGAACGGAAACAACTTCTCAGGTCACCGGGCCGCACTACTGGAAACCCTGTTAACTTGATGAAACTACAGGGAAGCAACGTAGAAGCATCGGTGGTCGGGTTATCCTGAAATCGATAATTTGGTACTGGGAATCTAAGGGTCACGCGGGCACCGTCCTGATAAATCACAGTAAGTTCAAAATACCTAACCTAACCTAGAGTCGGGTTTATACATTCCGGGACAAGGATGCTGGATCACCCGTTTTCCGAATGTTACCTCGACTCCTGTTTCACTAAGAATGGAGTTTGAAGCTTGAAACCAATTTCAGTCACGATGCCTTGATTTGTGACGTGTCATGAAGTAGAATTTTGTAGACAGATTCAGGTTAGCTGGTAATGTCGGGGATCTGTACAGCTTTCATTCCAGTTAGCTGCTCAATCAACTTTTGCCTCATTCAGTGATACCCCCGGACAGCTCCCATGACTAACTTGGCTGAATTGTGCATTTCTTGAGAAAAAATATCGGAATTTTGGAGATCCATCCATAAAATTTTCCACAGGACAATGACCAATGAGCTCCAGTCAGCTGCCTGTACTTTTCATCTCCTCAAAGCTTTTGAGGTGGTCCTTTCTGAACATTAGCTGAAGGGTGACCTTGACGAAGCAGGAAAAGACTATCTTTACTGTTCAGCCTCGCTTGGACCACGCTGACAAGGTAGAACAGTCAGAGGTCTGACACCGTCCTGACCTTGAACGCCAAGTAGCATGCGATCGAAATCCACAAACAGCTTCCAGGTGCGAGTTCAGTGAATTTGACTAAGTCACACATGAAGCTATGGTGAATACCATGCATACATTGATTCTGATTGTCTTTCGAATCAGAAGGTTGTTATTAAAATTGAATCTTCAGAAGGAAAGTACTACAGCGTAAAACTATCACGTGTATCGGGGATAGAGTTTAGCTAACCCTATCTGTCTGCTCAATGTTGCATCGCGCCACAACGGAGTGCTTTGGAGAGAGAATGCAGGTCCCATCGATCATATGGACCCATCCATTGGTTTACTGAATACAGTGTTTCGCACCGGTGATTTTAAAATCTCATGCTCCTGTTTACCAAAGTTTCCTTCTAACCGTATGACCTCCCCGCATCGCTCCTCAGCATTGCACGTCATTAGGTGGAGGACCAGGATCTCAATTCTGTCCACTTTGAATATAGTGAGACCAGCGTGGTACTAACAGCTCATCACTACAAGCTGGACTCAAATAAAGTATTCTTTTGGTGCAGTTGAGGGTGTATGTATGTGTGGTCAGCTCCTCTGACAAAAGATAAAGTTATGCATGCAAACTGCGGCCTCACGCTGTCAACTTTACTAGTATGATCGCAAAATAACCCTGTCGTCTTGGAAAAGACTTGTTTCCTTCTGGATCAGAAATGATGCCACGCTACAAGCTTGGTAGAAGAATTCAGAAAAGGATACGTCCATCATGGATATCATGCTTCGGCACGATTCTAACGTGAAACCATCGAACTTGAAATCTGAAAATGGAAAGTCTGGAATGAGTGTGTGGGTTTACAAACGCTTTTCACGCAACTATGGTGGACAAAGACTTGGCAAACAACACACACGCTAGGTTGAAACACTTTGGGAGGAAACCATACTTTTAAAATGCACCATTCAAAACAGGCTGGTTGGTTAGTGGTTGAACCGGCAGAATGCACAGGCCAAGTGCCAACCTCGCTTAAAACTAATGCACAGTGAGAAATCGATTTTTTAGAGCATGGACAGCAGTTCCGGGTATTTCTTCGCATGCATCACGTAATAGCATACATTCAAGGGAGATTCAGGACCTTCTTTCTCTGTGTTAGATACGTCCTTGCGGGCGCTACCACATGCAGCTCGACCAAACGCGCGCTTTGAAAACAGCGACACAGAAGCGTGGCGCGACTCGCGCACATGCCTTGGACAATAAAACTAGATGCATTCAAACTACGCAAGCTGGCTTACATTGTGCGTCGGAACCTGGCCGGATAACAACACGGATAATAAACACATGAAATGAGCTACGAAAAATCAAAACTTCCAACCCTGTTTGTACAGTACATCTCCCCTGCAGTGACCACATTTCATCGGTCCCGTCAGTTTTCTGGTGAGGATCCTCTAAAATTCATTTCGGCCTCCCGGGTCTGTGTCAACGGTGAACGTTGGCAAAAACTGGAGCCTTGTATTGCTCGGTATGCAAGTCTGATACCATTATAATACTTTTTTTTCAAAAAATGGACTTTTGAGTATTTGCCATGCACTAAGTTTGTTGGCCAAAGTTATTGACCAATCAAACTGGTTTCCGATGAGCAGACGTCTGTCTGCAGCAAGCCTTATCATCCACACAGGCGGTATCGGCCAGGTGTATTGTGGTTTCTTGTCCACTGATGTGGATTTGTGCAAGAACGACGGGGTAAAAAAATAAAACTTGTTCTCTGCTTTGTCCATCTTTGATTTGCGGTGGCTCAATAAGCCTACTCAGAGACCAGTTAAACACCAATGCATTAAACTCTCTTTGTTCTCAGTTCGTCCCTGTCTATTCAACAGAAGAACACAGGCAGGAACACTTCAGAAAATACAGTGCTTGTTCAAAGCTCGAAATTTCAAATACTGGATTTCGTCCACCAGTGACACCTCAACCTTTGTAAGAGAAAGCGGTGGAGCGCCGTACAGCCAGCATACTCCCATAAAAAAATCAGTAATCCATTTGAAACATCATGCTTGCAACCCATGGTTGAAGAATGGAACGGGTTGTTGTCAACTACTTGTGGGCGGTACACGGTGTGGATAACATGCAGATTACCTGGTGTTCCTGGTTCACCGAAACCCTGGGGCCATCAGTAGGACAGAGTGGTGTCTTACGTCGGTGTACTTCCAGACAATTCGTTGGAGCTTTTACCGCACTCTGGGATGTAGCTATAAATTAGGACGGTCTCAGTTGCAGCATTCCGCTCCCACTGCACCCAAGAGTTTGCCAAAGCTTTTGCTATGCTCCATTACTATTCAACCACACATCCAGTGTTTCGTCTTGATCTACGCAATTAACTCGGTTTCCTCTAAGCTAGGGACGGATAGGTCCGCTGGTTTTTCGCTCGACAATCTGCCGCGCGTGTGACATCATCGTCTGCTGAGGCTTAACGGTGGTGCTAACCGAGAAACGGAAAGGGGCAACCGGCTATCCACAGTAGGGTTCACGCCATCCACTATGCGTATGGACAAGACAGAATATCACTACCAACCGGCAGTTAGGCGCCGATCTTTCGTGCCCATACTAATGTCAACCGATGTTTTCGAGTCCACACAAACTTGTCAGATAACGAGTCCTAAAAAAATGAAATGGCTGAGGGATTCGGTCAGTAAATCTATTGCACGAAAATACCTACCAGTAGATTTGTTTGGTTTGTTTGTTCACTTAATTCACGAAAATTGATAAAAAAACCAAGGGTAATTATGAAAACAAAGACACGTAATAGTAAGATGGCTTGGTGTCTTGGCAAGCGGAGCAAACGTAGTCAGATAGAAAGGCCGGATAAGTAATATTCGCGGTTAGTACACCACCAAAACTGATACCATTTTCGATGGAACAAATTAACCGTAGTATTTTGCTTTGACCGCCAAAAAGTCGAACAATTCGGGAAGTCAGGGCAATCGAATGAAAGACGGTCATTTAGTTTGTAAGCACAAATGAGTTCGGTGCATTTGACTGGTTGCCTGGCCCCTTGAAATGTCGACTGGCTTAAATGTCTAGACTTTTAATCAACGTTAATCATTCAATGATGCAATTAGTAGTCAGAGGAATGTTCTAATGAGACGGCAATAGGAGATCGGAAGGAAATAACTTCCGATGCTGACAGCTAGTCACCACATCGTAGAGGCTGGCTTGCCAATGATCCACATGTCAACATCCGGACCGACTGATACCGTTCATTTCCTTGTTGAAAATAGGCTGATAGAGTAACTGCAGTGAAAGAATTTCGGTGCCATCTTGATAGGCAAAACATCATATCTTGTAAACTGTTCTCGAAAGCTCCTGAAATTTTGGTCGCATAGTCTATTCGAGCTATTCTGGGTCTTTATCCTTTTTAAATGAACTCACGTCGTAGGGGTACTGCGCGGTTGAATCGAGAATTTCGTCTACAGAACATCCTCCATCATTCATCCTGATTTGTGAACGTGGTTTGGTTCGCCACCACACTAGTAATTGGTCGAAAAATTGCGTAGGCGTATCACGAATGAACACCAATCTCACTGTATGGAGGCCAGCTGCCTCTAATTACCGAACATCACATCATTTGGACGGAAGTGTCACATGCAGGACACGGACGACATGCCCTGATTGGTCAGAGTGCCAGCCAATCTGGATCGAGCATATCTGGCTCGACGCTTCTCGCGCTCTCATAGAGTTGCACGATCGTCCATCAAGACAAAACACTCACTCAACCGGATTCAGTCAGTTACAAGCTGGGCGAGATGGTCAAGTGCTTATAGCGCGAATTTACCGACCGGGAGGTCTGCGGTTCGAACCCGACCTCTGCCTCTCGACTTCCCCTGTCTGGGTTTGGGCAACCTGGCAGTATCTCAGCCCTCGTGCAACCCTCGAGTGGCATAGCACTTAGGCACCGAAAGGGTGATACAGCTGAACGATTATTTTCTATTAAGCTTGAGTAGGCTGTTCTGGCTTTTTGTTGGCGTGTATACTATCGTATACGCAACACCGCAAAGTCAGAGGATGCGCAACCATTCCCTGAGGCATGGAATAGAAATCGCATCGGCGGGTGGAAGCACCAACTTCCTCAACTCATTTGGTTACCGCGTAATAAAAAAATTGTCCAGAATAAAACCAGAAGTATATCTGACTTTTTGGTGAATGGCAGGCTATTCCACCCAAAGCGACACGTTTGCCATTACAGGATTTTTCAAATTCCAGCATTATAATGTGCGACATTCACGTCCGGAAAGTGGCGCTCGTGAGGATACGAAGACGATTATTGTAAGAGAGCAGAGGTAACCAAATACGGAGATTCACAAATCGTTCTTTTATGCCTACACCGGAGATTGCAATATGTGCTACATATTTGCAAGGAAATGAAACAGATTGTATCGATTTTTCAGGCGTCAATGATTTTAATTCTCTCAGTATATTTTCAATATCTGCCAATACAGTAACCCACCGGTTGTGATTGTGTTACTCGGATCCCCTACACGAAGATGTGGAAAATACGTATAAAAG